AACCGCACTATTTTGTTTGCTGTTGTTTAATTTTTCACAAAGCTAATTTTTGTTTGTTGTATGTTGTTTAGTTTAGAGATAAGAAATTGATAAAAAAATAATATCTAACTGACAAATTAAATAAATAAAAAATCCCGTGAAGTGGTTACCAACCTGCATTTCACCTTCGAAATATCTGCGAACAAATTATGTGTTTTTCCAAATTTTGTACCATAATTTTGTTAATTTTTGCTCAATTTAAAATCTAATTACGACAATAATTTCAGAGTACAGATTCTTTTAAAATAATGGTTCGGAAGATAAATGGTTTTGTTTATCTGCAAATGTAAAGTTTTACTGACCTGTACGGATTTTTTAAAGTTTTTTTTTTTATAACGTTATATGGTGAAGAAAATTCAGCCGCCTTTTTAAAAAAAGACTCTCTGATAAATTACTAGTAAGCGCGATGAAGGACCTGAGATTATTATAAAATATTAGGAAAATAATTATTTTTGATGCTTTGTAATAAAATGTTGAATTCCTTATACCAAAATTTGTATATAAAATGTTAGTTTTAGTTTTAGCTCAAACTGATAATGGTTCTGTTGAGAAAGTCAGTAAACCGTGCGGCTGGATGTGCTGCTACCGAAAGGGTGGATAGATAATGAAAACCATATTGGATTGATCCAGTTCGGTGAAGCCCTTTGACCCTCCCCAAACTTAGAAAACCGCAAGATAATTTACTTTGAATATTTGCTTTGAAAGTATTTCATTTCAGTTAAAAAAGTTTCTAGCCGAAGGGTGAGGACAGAGTTCCTGTTTCGGTAATCTCCTTAATAGAGGAAGATGTCGTACGATGGGTTATTTGCGTATACGCGGATTCCCTGCCCATACAAATAACTTACATTACAGTTGTCCCACTAAAGTTGGCCTTAGGCTCCGGTTTAACGCAGATTTGTGTTACGACTCCGGTGCCGCATGGGCAAACCGGGTTAATAGGGTTGTATTAGCGCTAAGTTCAAATAGCCCTGCGCCTCCAACCTCTAAGGCCCTTTAGCACTGAGTCGCAAGGGGAATACAGATAAGAAGCGGTGTCATCGTGACGTGTCATGTTTATGCATGCGACCCGGGCGATACATCACGAAACAATGTTTGCCTCCAGGGCGTCCGACGGAGCCGAGTTATTCGCTTTTACCACCAATCTCGTCGAACAAGTTACTACATCTGATATTTTATAACAACATTTTTCCGAACTCCTAACATACAGTATCCAAATTAAAACAACCTAGGTTTAACGTGGCGTGGCGCATTTGATCAATGCGATATGACTCTTTAATAAAAATTTTAAGATAACATATCGGACATTTAAACTATGATACAATTACAATTAATTAAGGGTTTTAGTTGAGATAAAAAATCAGTGGCACGAGCGGGATTCGAACACACAATCTTCGGCTAGATACGCCGCTGCTCTACCACTTGAGCTATCGTGACTTCGATCCACTCGGACACTAACTTCCCATCTCAACCGCACCATTTGAATTTTCCCTTCTTTTTGCCATTTTTCAATTTTTTTTATCTCAACTAAAAACTTTAGTTAATTGTAATATATTAATTGGTCAAGCGTACCACTAAATTAGTGAATTCTATGATACAGTTTTGACCTATTGAAACGATTGGTTAAAAATACTAAAACGCCAATCGCTAAATTAAATAGTTTACAGAAAAATCTATTATATTTAGTTGTCTATTTACTTCTTTCAATTAATTAATCTTTTTATGTAAGGTTTACTTTCAAAATGCAAAAGTGTGAAAAATGACAAAAACGGGAAAATCCGAAAGGTTGTAGGTTGAGAGGAAAGTTGGTGTCCGAGTGAATGGATGTCATGATAGCTCAAGTGGTAGAGCAGCGGCGTCTTTAGCCGAGGTTCGTGGGTTCGAATCCCGCTCGTGGTGCTGGATTTTTCATGTTCAACCTAAACCTTACATAAAAAGATTAATTAATTGAAAGAAGTTTACAGATAGTTAAAGCTTATATAATTTGAACGTATGGGTAGGGCAGGCATTTTGGTTTTTCCTGAAGTTAGGTAAACGTTAATGATGAGCCGAGGTCATATTTTTCAATATGACTCAAAAGGATAGCGAAAGTGAGGAATTAGGAGTTCATAAAATGTTACTTTGTCTTCAACATCAAATCATTGCGTCTGTGGTAGTTCTATCTCTCCGGTTTTAGACGGATTACATCCAAACAAAACACTGATAATAGTGAAATGAGGAAAATCAACCTGACTATTCACCAGAGGATAACCAGACCAAAATGAAAGGTAGGAAACCAATGACAGGATCATCACGCTGCAGACCGCATGGACCAATCTAACAGTTCAATGAATATGTTTTTCCAATTCTCAGCAGTTCACCTGTCTTTCCAACAACTATCTTTCCGTCTTTATGTAGTGAAATATCCTGTCTGTATACAGGGTGTTACAGTGTAAAATGTCTACACTGTCATGGTGGATTCACTAAATAAAACGTTGTTTAGTGCCACCAGAACGAGGTTTCAATATGGACGGTATTCACAATCTTTGTGTTAACCCTGTTCACTCTGTTAAGTTCTGTTAGATCGAGAAACATGATGAGGTGGACTTGTAAGAATCAGCTAGTTAACATTGCTCGATCTAACAGGCCAGGGCCAATGTTAAATGTTAGGTCGAAAATATAGTCACATTACTTTCCGTTAGGGCGTAGGTAACCAACATGGCAGACATGAATTCAACAGCTGTTTTTTTTTTTACAAGTATGCTTATTCTTAAATACGCATTAATTAAATCAGACCAATACATTTCTTTTTTTAATTTCTCCTGTCCTTACACTCTCATTCATAATTTTCATCATTATATTAATTACAACATTCTTATTTTACCCGGATACATCCCCTATCCTATAAAGTTGTAGGCTGTTAGACATTAGGATACAAGTTAGGTATTTCAGCACGAATTGAAGCATATAAGTTGACTAATTTTCCTTTTTTTATTAATTTCTGGCATCTTACAATTTAACACAAAACCAAACTATAACAAACAACAACAAGTTTGCAAGGACTGTTATAGCTTTAGTTTTGGTTCTGCCCGTCGTCCCGCTCATCATAGCAGAAAATTTAACGTTTAGCAAGCTAAGAAAAGAAGGGGGCGTTCACGATCTTACTGGAAATTTCTCTATTCGAGTTAACACGAGTTATCGTCTAACATACTTCGCGAATACACCTAATATATCTGACTTAACTGAACCGGTAAGGAGAGAGAGAGAGAGAGAGAGAGAGAGAGAGAGAGAGAGAGAGAGAGAGAGAGATGAGAGAGGTAAGGAGATAGAGTGAGAGAGAGGAGAGAGGTAAGGAGAGAAAGAAAGAAAGAGAGAGAGAGAGACAGAGTGAGTGAGAGGGGAGTGTGTAAGAGAGAGAGAGGAGAGAGGTAAAGAAAGAGAGTGAGAGAGAGGAGAGAGGTAAGGAGAGAGAGAGAGAGAGAGAGAGAGGAGAGAGGGAGAGAGAGAGAGAGAGAGGAGAGAGGGAAGGAGAGAGAGTGAGAGGAGAGAGGGAAGGAGAGAGAGTGAGAGGAGAGAGGGAAGGAGAGAGAGTGAGAGAGAGGAGAGAGGTAAGGAGAGAGAGAGAGAGAGGAGAGAGGGAAGGAGAGAGAGAGGAGAGAGGGAAGGAAAGAAAGTAAGAAAGAGAGAGTGATAGTGAGTGAGAGGGGGAGTGTTTAAGAGAGAGAGAGAGAGTGAGAGTCATGCATATAAAGAAAGTGAGAATATTGCAGGACTACCATGAACAGTGGATGAACGCATGAAAAACACACAGAAACATTCAAGCAGATAAATTTATAAAGAAGGGGAGAGAGAGTGAGAAAGTGAAAGGCAAATTACAAAACAGAAACAAGTGAGAGAGGGAGGTAAAGAGACAGATATAGAGTGAAAAGTAAAATATGATAGAGAAACAAGTGAGAGAGGGGGTAGAGAGAGAGGGAGTGAGGGAGAGAGAGAGATACAAGTTAGGTATGTCGACACGAATTGACGAAGCGTGTCATTTGTACTTTTCGAGTGGCTAGGGTCGTTATGAATGAAAGAGTTGACTAATTGTCTTTTTTTATTAACTTTTGGCATCTTACAATATAACACAAAATAAAACAAAAACAAAAAACAACGAGCCTTCAAGGACTGTTATAGCTTTATTTTTCGTTCAGGTTTAACATGCTACGAAAATAGGGGGGCGTTCACGATCTTACTGGACATTTTTCTATTCGAGTTAGGACCAGCTACCATCTTACAAACATCGTGAATACCCCTAATAACTCTTTCCTGAGAGAATGTACCCCGTAGTTCACTAGTTATGTACCCTCCCCGGATTTGCAGACAAGTACCCTAACCCGTGACTCAACTGCCAACACAAAAATACAGCTTGTGTTTTAAGAGAGTTCACCACGCTTTCAAAGCTACCCCGTTATGCTTTGCCTAGAAATCTCCCTTGGATCCAAGGATTAGAAACGGTCTATGGAAATATGCCGTGGAACCTGGAGTGGCAAAAGAAAATGTCCTAGAACGCACGGTTCAACTGGCACCGTGATCCCAAAGTACTGACGTACGGTCCCTCTGGGTGGATGAATTAACTGGTCCAATTAACGGAATACCGTTTTTGAATTAATTAATCTTTATATAAGGTTAGGATAAAAAAGTCATTGTCACGAGCGGGATTCGAACCCACGGCGGTCGGGTAAATACGCCGCTGCTCTACCACTTGAGCTATCGTGGGTTCGAATCCCGCTCATAACACTGACTTTTTTATCTCAACCAATACCTTATATAAAGATTAAATAATTAAAAAGGTTATTCGGTCAATCGGACCACTAACTCTAATAAATGTAATTATTTATTTCAGCCTAGCTGATTATTTTAGTCAGTTTTTTAAACTTTTCATTACATAAATAAAAAAAGCAAAGTTTTAAAGGAAGTTTTGATAAAGTGATGTACTGTTTCAGGTAGTAGAAGCTCTTATCTAAGCCGTTGGCTGCTTCCTCTCTGTCTGCTAGCCTGGATGGGAGCGACGTGACCTCCGCAATAGGCCCCATGCGAACCGACTTTATAATCCTGCATATCAAATATACACAAAAAATATTTCCAGAAAAAAAGTTATAAGGTGAATACAACAAAAAAGAAGATTGAAATAAATAAACGGATTGGTGAAAAGAGTGTTTGTGATAAATGTGAGTTCGTTGGGGCGACAGTGAAGATACTTTGCGTTGTGAAATGTTTCATAAAGCTATAGAATAATTATCCCCTTTTCTGATTATTAAAAAATATATATATTTAATTGATAATTGTAAACAATTCAAACGCCAGGCTTCGGTGGCTGTGAAATAACCGCTTACCAGAGACGCCAATTATTAGATATACGAGGAGAATTTTTGAATGAGATGGACTCGTACATGGTGCCAAAAGGTTTTCTTTCAGCGTAGATCCTCTTTTACCGTGTAAACCGTCAATTCTTTAAGATAAAGGTCGGATCTCGTTAGTATAAAACGAACAGGGCAAAAAATTACCGTTCAGCCATTCAGCTCAACATACAAAATATGTAGTATGAGTGATATGATATAAATCGCAGAAAAACATTTAAAACAAACAAATTTGCAATGTAAAATAATTTAAATATATTTATTTTATTTCCTTTTTACGATAAACGTAAATTTGTAATTAATTAAATCAATAAAACAATGTTTACTCAATGTATTATAATTATTAAAAAAGCCAACTTTTGTTGTAATAAATAAAATCTCGAAATGTATATAATATGGAAATAATAGATAATATGTAAGAAAGGTTTTGAAATGATGGAGCTCCTCAAAGAAAAAATAATAATAAAAACATTTCTAGTAAATGTATAAAAATAGTTATTTGCACTCGATTCGGTGTTTAAAGCCACTTATGTACAATATTTCACTCAACAATTTTATTAGTACTTCAATATTGTTACGAATATATAAAGATTTTTGTCAACAAAAACCTAATCGAAAATGAAATATTGTTGTATAAATAATATAAAATATCATTCTGTTCATAATTTATTGTACATAATTTCAAATAAAACAATCTTTGAGTTCTTAGTCTTTTTATTTTTGTTTGGTTTAATCGTTGGCTCAAAAATAAGTGTACGTGTGTCAACCCCGCATGCCCAATCCTTAATCGAGTGAGGATGACATTTCTTTTACGAATCAGATCCTCCGAGGGTCACCTATCGAACTTTCTTTTAATATTTTATATTGCATTTTTTGCCGTCAGGGGGCCGGATCGCAGAGGTTGAGCCTGGAGGGTGGGACATCCCGGCTTTTACCTTTTCGTTACCATCCAGACCTATGAGTCCGAGTAAAATAAGTATGTTGTAATTAATATAACGATGAAAATACATACATAAAGGTAAAAATAAACAACAACGAGGGTTTTTTAGTGTATTATTGAATAATTTGTAAGTATATTTACGTTTATTATATCACGAGTTTGATCATGAAATAAGGACGACGTATGTCTAAGTGTTTTTTAGATATATTTTTGTAACTAAAAATGAATACGTGGCTTGTTGAATAATTAAGAATTGGTAGACGTGTAAATAAAAAACAGGTATATTTTCGACAATGAAAAAACTAGGCACAATCAGAAATATGAAATAATTACAGAGAATTTTATGAAAATCAATAACTTTTAAAGGATTTTATGTTTTTAAATATGAGTCAAATTGTTTGTTGTTCATTAATGCCTAAAGGTCTGGGTGAATGTTAATCACATAAAAATTTACGTTTATTTACCGATAATAGGGTATTCACGATGGTCGTAAGATGTTAACTCAAATAGAGATATGTCCAGTAAGATCGTGTACGCCCCCTTCATTTCTTAGCATGTTAAACGTGAATTTTTCTGCAATGCTGCGCGTGGCGATTGGTAGAACCAAAAATAAAGCTAGAACAGTCCTTGCAGGCTTGTTGTTGTTTGTTATGGTTTTGTTTTGTGTCAAATTGTAAGATGTAAGTTAGTGTAATTTGTAATGTGTAAGTGAATAAAAAAGGAAAATTAATCAACTCTTTTCATGCAAAATGCTATCTATGAACTCAAAACTAACCAATGACACGCTTCAATTCGTGCTGAAATACCTAACTTGTATCCTAATGTCTAACAGCCTACAACTTTATAGGATAGGGGATGTATCCGGGTGAAATAAGTATGTTGTAATTAATATAATGATGAAAATTATGAATGAGAGTGTAAGGACAGGAGAAATTTAAAAAAGAAATGTGTTGGTCTGTTTAATTAATGCATTTTTAAGAAGAAGTTTAAGAATAAAAATACATGTAAACAAAAACAGCTGTTAAATTCATGGCTGCCATGTTGGTTACCTAAGCCCTAACGGATAGCAATGTGACTACATTTTCGACCTAACATCTAACATTGGCCCTGGCCTGTTAGATCTAGCAATGCCAACTATCCGATTCTTTTCTTGAAGGTCAAAACCGACCTAGTAACTTACTTATTCAGAAGATCAACAATTTATACAGAAAATACGCTGCGCTTCATAACTTTTTCTATATGTAATAGTATAACACAACAAACTAACAAATCTGTTCAACAAACTCGGATTGAAAACAGCATAAGGACCAACAATAACACAGGTAAACTACTAAAAAGAAACATAGACACAACTAACCCGCTAGACAACAACGGTGTTTACAGCATCACATGTCAATGCGGATACACTTACATCGGACAGACTGGAAGGAAACTAAGAGATCGATTCAAAGAACATCTTAGATCCTTCAGAGACAATGACGGAAAATCAAATACACTACAACCACGAACCAAACACAATAGAAACAAGCATGACATTAATACACAACGCACAAAAAGGACGAAAACTAAACATACTGGAGAATCTCGAGATATACAAACAAATAACACTTAAAGACGGAAAACTTATAAACGCACAAACAAACTCACAATCACACACCACCTTCACACCACTAAAAACACTCCATAACAAAAAACGAAAACGTTCAGAAGAACAAAACATCGCAACCAACACCAGGAAAAAACAAAAAACCGACAACGCACAAATAATAACTGACAATGAAAATAACCGCCACCAAGACCGACCAACGAGCACGGAGACCACGCCCCCTAACGCAACGCCCCTAGCGACAAGCGACGGACGCAACAGTATATAAACCCCACTCAGACTGAATGACAGACAATTTTTCACTGAAGATGGCGTAATGCCGAAACGCGTTTGAATAACTCAAACAAAAAACCCGCGAGTGAAGACAGACCCAGTAGTGCCCGTGTGCCGGTTCAACATGAGTTCGCCAACTCGCAGACCAAACCCCATCATCTACTATAACACAACATGCAAATAACATTACCTAAGTACATAATAGGAGTATACACGATGTTTGTAAGATATTAACTCGTGCTAACTTGAATAGAAAAATATCCAGTAAGATAGTGAACGCCCTCTTTTTTCTTAAACATATTAAACGTTAATATTTCCGCAATGCTGCGCGTGGCGATTGGTAACCAAAAATAAAGCTATAACAGTCCTTGAAGGCTTGTTGTTGTTTGCTTTGGTTTTCATTTGTGTTAAATTTTAAGATGCCAGAAGTCAATAAAAAAGGAAAATTAATCAACTCTTTCATACAAAATGCTATGTATGCACTCGAAAAATACCAATAAATGATAAGCTTCAATTCGTACCGACATACCTAACTTACATCCGAACGTCTAACAGCCTACAACTGTTAGGAAACTGTTAGGAACGGGGGAACTCCTTTAGAAAAGGGGATGTATCTATGACGAATGAAAGTGTAAGGACAGGTCAGAAATTAAAAAAAGAAATGTAATGGCTTGATTTAATTAATTCGTATTTAAGAAAAAAATTACTTTTAAACAAAAAACAGGTGTTAAATTCATGGCGGCCATGTTGGTTACCGCCCTAACGGATAGCAATATGACTACATTTTCGACCTAACATCTAACATTGGCCCTGGCCAGTTAGATCGAGAATGTTAACTAGCCGATTCTTACAAGTCCACCTCATCATGTTTCTCGATCTAACAGGACATAACAGAGTTATCGGGGTTAACACAAAGATCGTGAATACCCCTAATGTTCACATTCTCAAGTCTTTTTTTTCTACCGATCCGAGTAACACAAAATTATTGACCTACTTTGGATGCAGTGGTTATTGAAGTAAACTGAAAGGTCAATGTTTAGCAACTAAAAACAAACAAGCAAGTTGGTCGTTTATAAAAATGTATTTTTCTATAATATGCCAGTCTAACTGATTGGTGGTCTTTAATGACTAAAAATTTGGCTAAACAATACTCAACCGTTTGAATAAATTACGCGATCTTTCTATTTACAGATACTGTTATTTCACGTCTTTTGCTGCAAGACCGAATAAATTCTTTTCAATTAATTAAGGTTTTGGTTGAGATAAAAAAGGCAAAAAGAGGGAAAATTCAAAAAGGTGGGGGTTGACATGGGAAGTTAGTGTCCGAGTGGATCGAGGTCACGATAGCTCAAGTGGAGATCAGCGGCGTATTGAGCCGAAGGTCGTGGGTTCGAATCCCGCTCGTGACACTGGCTTTTTTACCTCAACCAAAACCTTAATGATTTGAAAAGAATTTATTTGGCCAAGCGGACCACGCAACCTAATAAAAAAAGATAGAAAAAACGTTCTATGACATATATCTCTCCTTCTCTCTAAAATATCGCCAGTGAACAATCTGAAAAGATATGTTAATATCTAGGCAGTTCATAATAGAGCAGTTTCTGATATATGCAGATTTATCCATACATCTATAGACAAAAAAAACTCCGTCAGTAATTCTAGTCTGAGAAAAGCCTTACGTATAGTAATAACTCACGCGGACAGATCTCTAAGGACTTTTTCTTATCGGATTTCTCACAAAAGGGATGGAATCGATATTGCGTAAGTGCCACCACTCGGGACCGTCAACCCACTAAGGCAGGACGTCATAACCAGCAGCCCACATCAGTAAAACAAGTCGGCCCCTTTCTTAAAAGAATTCATTTAAAAGGATTGAAGAATAAGGCTGCTTTCCATTTTTTTCACCGTCTGTAACTTTGTGAAATACTGTAATATTTAAAAGCGAGAAATATCCAACTCGTAGCAAAGTAGGAGTGTCTCATTTTAGATAATTTTGTTAAGGGATGGTTTCAGTGTAGATAATTCTGTTCAAATCATATAAGTTCAATTGTGAATGTTTACTGAATAATTTATAATGTGTTAAGTCAAATTATACCGTATTTTATGAAATATGTTTTTAACGGGCGTGTTTTTTGGTTGAAATTAAAAACTAACACACGTACGAGATTTAAATAAATAGAAAAAGTCAACAGATTATATATATATATATNAAAGAGAGAGAGAGAGAGAGAGAGAGAGAGAGAGAGAGTGAGATTGGAGGAATTTTACTTTCTTTCTGTTGGATAGAACATCCTCTTTTTCCCATTGGGTTGCGTATGCAAGCACTCTATTTGATGCTTTTTGTCTGTATATGTTTGCCGTAGTTATTGTATTTTCTAGTAGCCGTGTAAGATTCCTGCCTGATCTTTATTTGTGGATCTATTGTTTATGCGGGGTTTTGAGCCATGTATTGTCTCTGGG